TTTGGATATTAACCTGTTATCAGATATATCAGCAAATATGTACTTCCATTCTGTGGGTTGTCCTTTTATTTTGTTGAAGATCTCCTTTGCTGTGCAAAATCTTTCAGTTTAATGTGGTTCCATTTATTTATTTTTTCTTTTGTTTCCCTTGCCTGGGGAGATATACCTGATAATACATTTCTACCAGCAATGTCTGAGATTTTGCTGCCTGTGTTTTCTTCTAGAATTTTTATGGTTTCAGGGATAAATTTTAAGTCTTTGATTCATTTGAAGTTATTCTTGTGTGTGGTTGTAAGAAGTTAGTCTAGTTTCATTTTTCTGTATGTATCTGTCCAGTTTTCTCAACACCATTTATTGAATAAACTATGTATAGTCCATTGTATGGCCTTGTTTCCTCTGTCGAATATTAATTGACTATAAAGGTGTGGGTTTATTTCTCGGCTGTTTATTTGGTTCTATTGATTTATGTGTGTGTTTTTATTCCAGTACCATGCTGTTTTGACTACTATGACCTTGTAGTATAGTTTGATGATAGGTAGCATGAGTCCTCCAACTTTGTTCTTCTATCTCAGGATCACTGTTGATATGTGGGGCCTTTTGTGGTTCCATATAAATTTTTGAATTTTTTTCTAGTTCTGTGAAATATGTCATTGAAATCTTGATAGGAATTGCATTGAATGTATAGATAGCTTTGGGTAGTATGGACATTTTAGTGATGTGAATTCTTCCTATCCATAAACACAGTGTGTGCTCCCATTTATTTGTGTCTTCAATTACTTTCGTCAATATCTTATAGTTTTCTGAGTTCAGGTCTTTTATATTCTTGGTTAGGTTTATTCCTAGGTTTTTTGTTCTTTTTGAAGCAATTGTGAATGGGGTTGTTTTCTTGATTTCTGTTTCTGTTAGTTCATTATTGGCAAAAAAAATGCAGCTGATTTCTGGATCTGAATTTTGTGGCCTGCTACTTTGCTGAATTCGTTTATCAGTTCTAGTAGTTTCTTGATGGAATCTTTGGGGTTCTCTATGTACAGTATCATGTCATCTGCAAATACTGACAGTTTTACTTCTTCCTTTCCAAGTTGTATGCTTTTCCTTTTTCCTTTTTGTCTGGTTACTGTGGCTAGGAATTCCAGTACTATGTTGAGTAAGAGAGGTGAAAGTGGACATCCCTGTGTTGTTCCAAATCTTAAGGGGGGCACTTGTAGTTTTGGCCCATTGAGTATGATGCTGGCAATGGGTTTTTCATATATGACCTTTATTATGTGTAGGTATGTTTGCTCTATTCATACATTGCTGAGTTTTTTTTTATCATAAATGGGTGCTTGATTTTATGACATGCCTTTTCTGCATCTATTGATATGATAATGTGGTTTTTATCCTTCATTTTGTTTATGTGGTGAATCACATTTATTGATTTGCAAATGTAGCAACCTTGCATTCCCAGAATAAATCACACTTGATCATGGTGCATGATCTTCTTGATGCATTGCTGTATTCAGTTTGCTAGTATTTTGTTAAGGATTTTAGCATCCATGTTCATCGGGGGTATTGGCCTATAATTTTCTTCTTCTTTTTTTTTTTTGGTAGTGTCTTTGTTTGGAATTAGGATAATGCTGACCTCATAAAACGAGCTTGGGAGACTTCCCTCCACTTGGATTTTTTGAAATAGTTTAAGAAGGAGAGTGTTACTTCTTCTTGGAATGTCTGGTAAAATTTGCCTGTGAAGCCATCTGGTCCAGGGCTTTTGTTTTTTCAGAGTTTTTTGGTTACTGCTTCAGTTTCACCAGGTGTAATCTATCTTTTTCAGATTCCATGATTCTTCTTGATTCAGTTTTGGATGATTGTATGTTTCTTGAATTTATCCATTTTGTCTAGGTTGTCCAGTTTGTTGGCATATAGTTCATAATATTTTCCTAAAATCCTTTGTATTTCTTTGGTGTCAGTTGTTACTTTTTTCTTTCATTTATGATTTTTTGGGGGTCCTCTGTCTTTTTTTCTTGATGAGTCTGATTAAAGGTTTGTTAATCTGGTTTATCTTTTCAAAGAACCAGGTCCTGGATTCATTGATCTCTTGTATCATTTTTTTAGACTCTATTTTGTTTGTTTCTGCTCTGATCTTTATTATTTTCTTCCTCCTACTCATTTTGGACTTTGTTTGTTGTTCTTTTTCAAGTTTCTTTAAATGTAAAGTTAGATTGTTCATTTAAGCTTTTTCTTGTTTATTTTTTTGTTTTTGTTTTTTTGAGCTAGACCTGTAATGCTATGAATTTCCCTCTTCAGATTGCTTTCCCAGTGTCCCACAGATTGTAGATTGTTGTGTTCTTGTTTTCATTTATTTTAAGATATCTTTTGATTTCTTTCTTGGTCTCATTGTTGATCCATTGATTATTTAATGACATGTTTTTCAGCTTCCACATCTTTGCGTGTTTTCCAGTGTTCTTGTGATTGATTTCTACTTTCATAGCATTGTGGTCAGAGAAGATGCTGGATATGATTTCAGTCTTGTTGGATTTATTGAGACTTGTTCTGTGTCCTAACATATGGTCTAGTCTAGAAAACCTTCCATATGCACTTGAAAAGTATTTATGTTGTGCTGCTTTGGGGTGAAATGCTCTGAAGATATCAATTACATCCATTTGCTCTAGTATGTTGTTTAAGGCTGCTGTCTCCTTGTTGATTTTCCGCCTGGAAGATCTATCCATTGAAGTCAGTGGGATGTTAAAATCCCCAACCATGAGTGTATTTTTGTCAGTTTCTCCCTTTATGTCCATCAAGATTTGCTTTACACATTTAAGTGCTTCTATGTTGGGTGTGTAAATGTTTACTAGGATTATATCCTTTTGTTGGATTGTTCCCTTTATCAATATGAAGTGTCCTGCTCTCTCTTTTACTATAGCCTTGGTTTTAAAGTCTATTTTGTCAGGCATAAGTACTGCTACCCCAGCTTTTTTTCCTTTCTATTTGCATGACATATCTTTTCCAGTGCTTTTCTTTTAGTCTGTGTGCACCTTTCAATCTGAGGTGGATCTTTTGGAGGCAGCACATATATGGGTCTTTTTTTTTCTTATCCATTTACGTACCCTCTGTCTTTTGGTTGGAGTATTTAAGCCATTTACATTTAAGGTGATATTGATAGATACATAATGTAGTGCCATTTTATTGTTAGACTGTTTTCCTCTGTTTTCACTTTTTTCTCTTTTTCTTAAAGCAGGCCCTTTAAATTTTGTTGCAGTAATGGTTTTGTGTTTATAAATTCCTTTAGCTGTTTCTTGTCTGGGAAACTCCTCGTCTGTCCTTCAATTTTAAATGATATCTTTGCTGGGAAAAGTAGCCTTGGTGTAGGTACTTGGTTCTTAACACCTTGAATACTTCATAGCTCTCCCTTCCAGCCTGAAATGTTTCTGTTGAGTAATCGGATGCCTTTCTAATTGGTGTTCCCTGTAGGTAACTACCTGCTCTTCTGTTGCACCTTTTAGGATTCTTTCCTTGTCTTAATTATTATGTGTCTTGGTGTAGGAGCATTTGGGTGCACCTTGTCTGGGACTCTTTGAGTTTCCTGGACTTGTGACTTTTTCTTTCACCGGATAAGGGAAGTTTTTCGTCATTATTTCTTGAAATAGGTTCTGACCCTTTGCTCACTCTCTGCTCCTTCTGGTATTCCCATGATATAGATGTTATTACACTTCATGTTGTCCAAAATGTTTCCTAAGCTCTCCTCTTTTTTAAAAAATCTGTTTTTCTTGTGCTGTTCTTCCTGTGGTGTTTTTTCCCTTGTCTTCCAAAACACTGGTTTAATCCTCTGCTTCATCTAACCTACTATTTGTTCCTTGCAATGTATTATTTTCAGATATTGCATTCTTTATTTCTGAGTGGTTCTTTTTTATGGTTTTTATGTCTTTTTTCATGCTGTTGAGTATCCTTATAGTCATTAGTCTAAACCCTTTATCTGATAAATTGCTTGCCTCCATTTCATCTAGTGCTTCTGGAGCATTCACTTGTTCTTTCATTTGGGATCTGTTTCTTGTCTTCCCATTTTGGCTGCTGCTTTGTATTTTTGGCCGGAGCTGTTAAACTAATCAGCTGTTAAACTCCTCAGTTGTTAACATCATCAAGCTGTAATCAGCAGCCAAGCTTAAGCCTAACATAGGGTGAACAGAGTAGTTTTGCGGGTGGAGGTACTGCTTTCCCTCAGGCTGATGCCATTCAGAGAGGAGCGCTCTGCCTGAGAGAGATGGCCCCTGCAGTATGGGGAGTGACTCAGCATGGGGATCCTGGTAATTGTTCCTTCTGTCCTCTACCCAGAGCCACCAAGCCCAGACTGTCCTCTAGCGTCTCTAGTGCACTTTGTCCTCCCTTCGCTGGAGCCCGGGTAAGTGGCTACCAGTGCAGTTTTGTGTATTGGTCCTTTAATAGGCTTTCTGTGTTTCTAGCGGTCTCTCCCTGGGAGACAGAAACCCTGCTGCTTTTCACAGCTGGATGTTATCTGGGTTCTTTTCCGGCTCTGGTGCTGTAGACTGAGGAGCCCAGCTTGGGGTTTATACCCTACACTTCTCAAGGGCATCCCACTAGCCACTGAAATATCCTTCTGGCACTTCAGCTGCCACTAGTGGGAGCCCAACCAGCCTTCTCTCTTCTCCTCCACATTACTACTAGTCACATTATGAAGTGGTTTCTTCTGTCTGTCTGTGGTTATAAGGCTTCTCTCCAGCTAGTGACCAGTTGGTTATTCAGGATGATTTCTCTACAATTTAGTTGTAATTCCAGATTGGTCCTGGGAGGAGGTTAGTGTAGCCTCCACTTACTCTTCTTCCACTATCTTGGATCCTCACTTTAAAAATCTATGTTAGTTTTTAAGTAGTTGATAGTGGTAGCTGTATATATTTTTTTAACATCTATTGGTTTACTTTTTCATTCTACATACTAAGTGTCAGATATTTATGATTGCCATTGCTCTTTTATTGAAATGTTCTTTGGTTCCTTTTCTCCCTTTTGTCATTTAGGTGAAAACAGATGACATAGCAAGAATTTATCAGCCTAAGCGTTATGCTTTGTCACCCAAGACAACGATTACATTGGCACATTTACTCGCTGCTCGTGAAGATCTATCCAAAATCATTAGGACAAGTAGTGGCTCCAGCCGGGAGAAAACGGCGTGTGCCATTAATAAGGTTGGTTTTTCTTTCAGTACAGTGGAGAATGAATCTTTAATTTCCTCCTTTGGTATTTTTACAGATCTTAATTAATTTTTTTTAATGCCCTGGTGAACTAGAAAAGAGTGGTGGAAGGGCTTCAGTTCATCCAGGCTTAGTTATGTGTATGCAAGTTCATTTGAATTTCTGCATTTGTAAATTAAACCAAAGTTTTATCTGAATTAGAGGAATTAAGAATTGCTTTTATTAATAGCCTTAGGAGGAATTATTTACCATTCCAAAAGAGTAATTATTCTTTGTCATTGAAAATCTGTAGGAATCATTTCAGTTACTGACAGGTGCCTCATGTCCTTGGTGTAAAGGGAAGAGTACACACTTTGGCATCATACAGATCTGGGCGCACATCCCAGCTCTGTCATTTACGTAGAGGAGTCATCTTGGGCACGTCACTGAATCTCATGGAGGTTTCCTGATTCAGAGTGTGGGCCCATTTCTCTGAGAGTGGTCTTAAGCTCAGAGAGTCTGTAGTTTTTACTTTTACTGCAGGAACAACAATAAACTAGTCTAGAACATTTGTTAGCTCCACTAGAATGCACTCTTCATTTAGACTGAGCACTCTGTGACAGCTTTGATTACAAAAAGGTGAAAAAATCGAAAGTATGTGATTTGGGTAATATTAAAACATCATTTCTCACTCAGTGTAGTGAGATAGGTATTCTTGATGCAGGCTACCTTGCCAGAGGGATGGTTGTTTATGAAGTCGATTTGCCTAATTGCTTAGTTAGGCACTAGGTGTTCCTGCCTCCTACTTCCATTTTAGATCAACCTCCTCTTATCTTCTGGAAGTGTTTTCTCTTTAAATATAGCATGGGGGCAAAAGGAGGTTTACAGTTGTGAATACATGAAATACAGAGTTTATTCTTGTATTATTTATTTTATTATTTTCCATATGAACAATTGTAAACCTACTTTTCCCACCCCATATGTTACTTAATACCTAGTCAATATCAGGTTATTTTTTTCTTGCTGCATCAAGAGTTTCCCTTTTCTGAGTTTATAATTTATAGTCTCAATTATTTGAGGATGGTCTTTTTTTTTTTTTTTTTTTTGCATTTAAGAGAACGATTTCTTGTCATAATAAACCAGAAACTGAAACTGAAACAGTTGACAGAATGTGGTGAACTTAACCTTCAAGGGAAATAAGAGGGTCAAACAAAGCCACTGTTTGTAGAAGCTCATGATTGCTTTGGGGTAAAGAGGAGGATGACAGCGTTCAGCCTGAGTGTCTTACGGCCCCTCACCAGCAGGTCTCTCCTATCCCTTTCCTTCTGAAGCATCTGCTTAACCAAATGGCTTTTCCTTCTCTATTGCAGGTATAAGCCAACCCAATATGTATCCCTTTGAACATGATGCAAAGCTAAGAGAAAGTTTATAAATTTTATTCCAGGGTGGAAAGTGTGCACATAACCAATTCAGCACATATTATGTGGCATCAAGGCACCTGGTAGCAACCTGAATCAAAGCTGTGATGCTACCGTGTGTGAGACCTATTATGTGGCCCTGTAGCTAGGTCAGTGTTCCTAATTTACAATGCTAAAATATCAATGTGACAGGATGCATTTTTGAACTCCAGATTTTCTAAATACTTCCCAGAGGCTATATTAAAGTGATATAGAAGAGAGCTGTATCTCAGAAACCTAGGGGTTGGGGAGGAACATCGATGGGTTGTTCATGGGACTTTTTCAGGGGGTACAGAGATGCACAGAGGAAACATTAGAACATCTGTTTGGGGGCTGTCTCATGATCAGTTCCTGGAGCAGTGTCTCCATATACCCACCAAAGTAGCATGTTTGGTGGAGAGACCACTGAGAATGCCAACCAAGAAAGCTATTTTTTGGATTTAGTAATTAGGACATTCTTGCTGACTTTCAGAGAATGTTTATATACTTTGAACCTTACCCCACAGTGAGAGTGTTGTACTTTTTGTGTATTTATTTATGATTTCTACATTACTAAAACATAGTTTTGGTGAGAATCAATAGAAGTAGAACTTAACTGATTCATAGGTTAGTTTGGTTGAGGAAGTTACTCTTTTACCTTCTTTCCCTGAAAGAGACTAGCAGGAAGCTATTGGCTTGTGGTGGGTGGGAGGGCACCTTCCTCGCCGCTGTCTGTCTTTCTCTGTTCATGGCACATGAAGTAGAGCCTTTCTATAGACGTCTGGGGTCTCAAACCAGGTTCTTGGTTTGTCCTTCAGAGTATTGTAAGGCATGGTTAAGGAAGGATATCAAGTCTTTATTTTCTTTATAATGTAACAGCTAGACCATCCCTGAAATTGAGCTTAAGTTTCTCATAGGGAGGGAATATTTCATTGAGAATCCTTATATCTCTTTGCAGTACTGCCTTGGATTATAGTCATTATATTCATCTCTGACCTCAGTATATCCTCATGTTATCACAAACACTTTATACTTAGTTGAAATTAAAATGTGCTTAGAAATACAGTCCTTCATTGGATAGTCCATTATCAAATCAGTGGCAATGGAGAGTCCAGAGTTGTTGTATAAATGGTTATGAATTTATTAATTTAGGGTCTGTATTTTATGTATTTTAATGTTTTGCTAAAAATGTTTTCTTATTGTGATGAAGAAAAGTTTCTTCATGTTTGTTACAGAATTTTCTAAACAGATTTAAACGAGAAAATAACAAGCCTTTAAGCTTCAGAAATATTTATCTAGATTGTTTAAAAATAATACCATGTTGTGAGGAATTTATCATGTATCACATTTATATTTTCATAATTAACTCATACTGCCATGTCTGATACTTTCATGTCCTTAAATATTTGGCTTCTGTTTCTTTATTACAACAATAATTTCAGCATCACTTGGCATCTTTATATAAATTTTAACCTTTAAAATATTAGACACTGAAAGAGAATATTTCTTCAAACAGGTGCTGATGGGAAGGGTGCCTGACAGGGGAGGACGGCCGAATGAAATCGAACCACCACCTCCTGAGATGCCACCTTGGCAAAAGAGACAAGAAGGCGGCGGAAGGGGTGGTTGGGGTGGTGGAGGTGGTGGGAGAGGAGGGGGTGGCGGTGGGAGAGGAGGCGGAGGTTGGGGAGGCGGTGGGGGCGGAGGGTGGGGAGGTGGTGGGGGAGGTGGTGGCAGAGGAGGAGGTTTCCAAGGTAGGGGAGATTATGGAGGAAGAGGGGGCTATGGTGGAAGAGGGGGCTATGGTGGAAGAGGTTATGGAGATCCATATGGAGGAGGTGGTGGTGGATATAGGAGATACTAATAACTACAAAAATTAGCAGTCATTACTTCTTGATAGATACATTAGGCATAGTGTTCTAAATAACATACTTGAATGTCATCTTTGAGGTAAACACCATGTTAGATTCCTTGTCATTCTTTAATTGGGTTAATATGTAAGAGTATTGTTTTATACTACCATTTCATCTCCTGGACAGAATGATGATTTTATTTTTATCATTTTGTGTACTCTTGAGCATGTTATGTCTTTTTAAAAAAACAAAAAATGAGCTAAAACTATTTTTAAAAATGTAAATATTTATTACCATCAAACTTGGAAAATGGAAAGTATTTTATTGTCATGATTGAATTTAGATTGTTACCTGTATTTTATTCAGGTTTGAGACACATAAATGAGCCCACTTGTTATTAGACTGTTGCCTCATCTGTATTCCTGTGTTTTGTATTTGTTCATTTTACTTTACAAAAGAGGGGAAGGGACCGATAGTTTTGTTCAATAGGTAGTTGTCATGACTTGTTTTTTTTCTTCTATTGGAAGTGATTCCTCTGTAGCTAGGTCAGTGTTCCTAATTTACAATGCTAAAATATCAATGTGACAGGATGCATTTTTGAACTCCAGATTTTCTAAATACTTCCCAGAGGCTATATTAAAGTGATATAGAAGAGAGCTGTATCTCAGAAACCTAGGGGTTGGGGAGGAACATCGATGGGTTGTTCATGGGACTTTTTCAGGGGGTACAGAGATGCACAGAGGACATTAGAACATCTGTTTGGGGGCTGTCTCATGATCAGTTCCTGGAGCAGTGTCTCCATATACCCACCAAAGTAGCATGTTTGGTGGAGAGACCACTGAGAATGCCAACCAAGAAAGCTATTTTTTGGATTTGGTAATTAGGACATTCTTGCTGACTTTCAAAGAATGTTTATATACTTCGAACCTTACCCCACAGTGAGAAATAGGGAAAGGGACCAATAGTTTTGTTGAACAGGTAGTTGTTGTGACTTGTTGTTTCTTTTATTGGAAGTGATTCCTCTGGCCAGTTTTCTGTTAAAGTTCCATTAACTGAAGCCTGAGTCTACTTTTTGGTATGCATATTTGATTTCTTTTCTAACTAGATTTGAAATCTGTGATTTTGTTTGGCAAAGCAAAGTTAGATTGAGGTTGGGACAGAGACAAGAACCAGTTTTACATGATGCTGTAAAAAAATTCCTATAGATTGTTTCTTCATCGTTTGGGCCATTATTTTAGTTATCAGAATATTAAAAAGCAGGCTGAACTGTATTATGTAGGATTAGAGTAATTTCCAGTTTTAATAGATCAGAGGTAGGGCCAAGGCATCCCTCCATAATTCTCATTAATAGCTAGATTTGTAAAACACAGGTCAGGGAGTGGTTATCCGTGGTTAGGCCATGGAAGCAGTCAGAGGCTTGGTGAGCAGGAGTTGTGAATCTGAATCACGGCACTTAGTCCTGGGGTGTTAGGGGCTAAGATGGTCAGAGGGTCTCAAGGATTGGTTTTTCCTCACTTCAGCTGAGGAACGTGATGCTTGAGCACTATCTAGGTCGTTTCATAAAGACCTAAGTACAAGTGGAATTTGTTGAGAATTTATAGCAGGCCTACTATGAATGGTTTAAGAGGTGGGCCAAGTAACGCATTTTTCTGTTACTGCGGAGAGAGAGAAAAGGGGCCACACAAATTTTAAAATTCCCACTGTAAAGTCTACGCAGGTTAAGGCTTCTGGTTAACACCTGCGCATAACAACTCTCTGTGCTCTAACCAACTCAGTAGGTAGGAAGCTGAGTACCAGTGGAGAAACAGCTTTTGATATGTGGCGGTTATGTTTTGTTTTATAGTAAACCCTGTGGTGAAATCTAAAATAATGTTAAAACTTTAAAAGTAAATATTGTGTGTACTGCAGTGTTGGCCATGTGTTTTTCAAGATAACCCTTCAAAAAATTTGTTCGGGATAGGAAGACAATTTGTTTTGGTTATTTGTAAACTTATTTTTAATGTGTTTATATTAAATAATAGACTTAATTTTGTTTGTGATTGTCAGAGAATGTTTTCCATAATTAGGAAAACATTTTTATTAGTACCTGTGAACTGTGAAAAAGAATTTTTAAAAATATTTAAGCAGATGCCAGCAGAGTAAAATATTTCAAGAGAGTTATTAGTTAAAACAGAAAAAGTTCATTTAAAACTTTTACATTTCTGCTTCCTTTCTTTTGGGAACTTTAGTTGCTGACACAGAAGGAGTTTATAACCACTCTAGCTTTTATCAGTGAAGGTTTATGAATAATGGCAGAAAGGAAGCTTCTTAATGAAGCTTCTGCATATTCATGAACTAGAAGAAATACAAAACATCTATGTTATCAGTTTCTGTAAGGTTTCTTTGTACCTTCATAGGCACACTGTGGGACTATCCGCAGGACTCACTGAAAACCTTACCCAGGTTCCGTGCTTGCTCCTGGAGTAGTGTTGGAGCTGGAATCACACCTATGTACACATTCCCATAAACATCACCTGATTAAAAAGCTGAGGGGTCTAGACTCAAATATCTCATCCTTTCCTCAAAGCTAAATTTCCACGATAATCTTTGTTCAGTAAAAATGTCAGTCGTAGAAGTGTGCTAAGCAGTAACTAAAATAGCAGTAAGATAATCCGAGGCCTTAATGTGAAAGGCCATAATGTGAAAATGTTTTATAAATTGAATGCAATACAAATGTGGAATATGATGAATGGTACTTCTGCTTCCTAAAGTTCCATACCTTTGTGCCTCTTCATTCCTTTTTGCCTGGTTCTCATTTTCATTTTTACCTATTACCTCATTTCCCCTTGGGTCTGGTCTTTGTTATCTAATAGCATCTCTAGATATATCTTGACTGGGAATTTTGGATTAAAGAAGGTAACTACTTTCATATCTGAACCATAAAGAGAACGCAAGTCCACTGTTGTGGCTTAGTTGGTTGGCGCACCATCCCATAAACTGAAAGGTTGAGGGTTTGATTCCTGGTCAGAGTACATGCCTAGGTTGTGGGTTTGGTTCCTGGTTGGGGCGCATACAACTGATTGATGTTTCTCTCCCTCTCTTTCTCCCTTCCCCTCTCTCTAAAATCAACAAGCATGTTCTCAGATGAGGATTTTAAAAAAAGAGAGAACATAGAACATAAGTCCTGTCCACACATAACCTACCACACCATTGCACGTCAGCTCAGCAGAAGAAGGGTCGGTGTTTTCTTTGAACCTATTTCCTTGTGCTTTGCAGATCAGGGAAATTTTGACTCACTAAATAGAAAAAAAAAATTTAAAACAACATTTAATTACCTATGTTTGTGTCAAAAAAAGGTTTGAAAATTCAGAAAAGATTTTTGACTAGAGAATGTTCTGAGCCATGACATTATTATCTTGTGAGGAGCATAGGATACAGATATTTGGGATGGGAATTGTGGCTGGAGGAGAGGAAGTTTAATCTCTTCTTTAAGTTCAGGTTATCAGAGTGACTTCATTATTTCGTATGAAGTATGAATGGACAAAATGATAAATACACTCACATCCAAGTGTGTCAGAAGGCGTTCCATACTGGAATTTGAGTGATTGGAAGTTTTCTCCCTTCTTCATTGGTCTGGTTAAACAGAAGTTGGCTGGGGATTAAGGGGCATCATGGCTCTCTCTAATCACTAAGTAATCGTGGGCACAAATGAATTGCTCTGGATGGTCTGTCCATTAGACTGAACCACCCTCTACCAATTTCACCCACAGCTTCAAAGTTTCTGTACTTGCTAGTTTTCTTAGATAGAACTGTGGAATTAAAGACCAAGCCACAGAGAAATGACAACCTCAAATTTGTCTCCTTCAGTGTTAAGTATTTATAGACTTGATATTTTGGGAACACTGTAAGTCATTGTGCAATAAGATGGAAAAGGTTGAATATTTATGTACTATTCTTTGTGTTATAAAGAGATTTAGAAGAAATAATACTGAGTAATTAGTGGGTTCTGCTTTTCCTCCCAGGAGAACTGTTTGGCTAATACAATACAGGAATGGTCTTAGCTGTGGATTATAGTAAAAATTCAGGTGAAGCTTCTGCATATTCATGAACTAGAAGAAATACAAAACATCTATGTTATAGGGATTCTAATGTCTTTTATCATATAAATATTACACAAAGAAAACTTACATTAGGTATAAAAAACTTTACAATCTGTACATGTTTTTTCCTTGCAGTTCTTTTACATAATACATCTTTAGACAGAAATTCACAAATAATAAAAATACAAGTCAATTACCAAAGCAAATGAGAAGTGACATTACTGTTAACAAAACAAAATTTGTCATTGTTTTGGCAGATAAACATATGCCTAAACTTATTTCAAGTCAGTACAAGACACAAAATTTTGTATCCTAGGCTTAACAAACCGATTATTTCTGTAGCTTCACGCCAATAATATTAATTTACACATCGTACTTCTTGGCCCTCTAGGTTGTGAAAACCTGTGATGAAATTACTACTTCCTATCCATTTTCGTGATAAGTTCTGGAGTGCCTGAGATCTTCTAGCCTTGTTAATGTGACTAAGGAGACTGTGACCTTTTGAGTTCCTATAAATTACAGAGTATTTACAAAGAAACTAACCTGGAGTCTGTATTTGGGGTAGAGGGGGAGAAGAATGAAAAAATTTGTTACATGACTGTGTTTAAAGGAAATAGAGCAGTACTGTTTTTGGTCTTTATCAGAGGAATAATAGTGAAGAATATGAATTTTGAAGATGATCATAAACTCATGTTGTTCCATATAAGATAAGTAGCAAAGTGCTTCTATAAATGTACATACCAGGTGGTGGGATTTTCCAGTTTGGATTTAGGAAAAGGGTAAGTTTGTGTGCAAAGCGATTCTTTAAAACACACTTGAAAGCTAGTCACTAACTTTGTCGCTAAAGCTCAATACCACGAGGTGTGCAAATTGGAACCAGTCTTTCATCAAACTTCTTAAATGATCTGAATTCTCCAAGGAAGCTACATTGTGTATATGTGCTTTGTATTCTGATTAAGACTTGGCGTTGTTGGCTTTAGGTTTGGAACTTCTAGTTGTTGATATTATGTTCTTGGCACGTTAGTCACCTTGTTTATGAATTTCAAGTCAGTTTGGTACCAGGTTTTCCAAGAGTGGAAGGTAAGTTCCCTCTCCCACCCCCCTCACAGAAAAAGAAGATGATCGTATGAATTTTTTAGAGAAATAGAGAATCTGACAAAGGAGTTTATGAACAGTTGCCTGGACAACTAAATTAGCTCGTCTATCATTAACCTTCATTAATGGATAACATGTAGGTCTCTTACTTGTGATTTTGCCAAACAATATAATTTACATTGTGAGCAAATTTTTCACCTTATAACAAACTGAACTTTATACTTGTGA